TTTTCCTCCTCCTCCTCCTCCCCCTCCTCCTCCTCCTCTTCCTCCTCCTCCTCCGCTTCCTGTTCCTTTCAAGGACCACTATGATGTCACCCCCTCTGTCCAGGACGTTATTCGGCCGAGGCTTACGAAGTGGATTCACACCACCTCTGACAAAGAAGTGTCCTTGACGCGCTCTTGGATCGGTGCCGCGGGGCCCGAACTCCCTGGCTACATCTTGTCTGCCTGCTCGGAAGCCATGTTCAACGGGTGGAACACCCCTCGCAGGTACCGCCAATGTGTCCAGGTGTGTGTTCTTTCATGTAACGCCGTGAACTGTGGCTGTGTTCTTTCATATAACGCCGTGAACTGTGGCGTTCTTTCGCACTGCTCCATTTGCCTCGTGCTCGTGCAGGAGTTTGAAATGAGTACTCCCACGGCTCCAAGAATACTGGGGAAGTGGTCTACGGAATTCGATGCTGCCACACTTGTTTTCCATTCCTCGTCTCGTGAAAACCTGCTCTCTCAGTTTGTTGCTGTACAATTTCAGCACAATTGGTTTCATACTTTTCGGGCATCTCCCTCTGTATGCCTTACCCTTGCGTGTACCCTGTCTCTCGTGGAAGCGCGCACGAGAGCTGGGTCCCGGCGAAGTGAGACCGTTCAAAGTCTCGGCAGGGGCGCCAGTCCTCAGTGGGCCCTGGAAGCGACAGGGCCGTTTCTTGCCGGTTCCGTTTTGCCGTTTTTTGCCGGTTCCGACGCCGTTTTTTTACCGGTTGCGTCGCCGTTTTTGTTACGGGTTCCTGCTCCGGTTCCAATCCTGGAGCCGTTTTTGCTGCCGTTTCTGGTCGCCGTTTTTCTGCCGCTTCCATTTTCAAGGGGCACCTTTGCGGAAACGGTGAAAAAAACGGCCCTGCCGTTTCCGGGGCCCACTAAGCGCCAGTCTTGCTGTCGGGTCCCGCTCTGCCCTTCCACGTCCGTGAACCGCCACCCGCCGCCGCGGCGGCTGGCTTCCCCTTGCGTTTACCCTGTCTCTCGTGGAAGCGCGCGTGAGAGTTGGGCCTCGGCGACGTGAGACCGTTCAAGCTCTCGGCAGGGGCGGGGGTTTTCCAGGAGGGGTCCCCCAGGGGTTTCGCACCCCCTGTATTGACCCGGTTCCGAGGCCCCTGGGGGGCTCTCTGGAAAACCCCGTCCCCCCAAACCCTTTTTGGAACCCTCCAGCCCCCCCCTTTGCGACGAGCGTGGAAGGTCTCGGCGAAGTAGGACCTTGCATGATCCTCTTTTTTTTCCGTGGGGCCCCGCTCTGTCCTCCCAGCGCCCGTGAACCGCCGCCCGCCGTCCACGGCGGCGCCCGCCGTGCAGCCGGACGCTCGCGGCGGGCACCCGGGGCGGCCCCCCGCGCGTGCCGCGCTCGGCGGAGTGTCGTCTCTTCGCGTTCGTGTCCTGCTCGTGGCCGCCCTCCTCTCCTTCGGGCGGCGCTGCTTTTCCTCCTCGTCCCTCCTTGTCCTCCTCCTCCTCCTCCTCCTCCTCCTCCTCCTCCTCCTCCTCCTCCTCCTCCTCGTGTTCCACTTGTTCCGTGGCCCTTTTGGCTCAAGACCCCAGCGTTGGCGGGCGCAGCGCCCGCGGGCTTTCGCGGCGTGCCCTGGCTCCAGGGCCAGCTTAAGGATGACCCCTCCTTGTCGCGCCCATCCCCCCCATCCCCCCCCTCCTCCTTTTCCTCCTCCTCTTCCCTCCTCCTCATCCTTCTTCTCCTTCTCCTCCTGCTCCACTTATGTTCCTTCTAAAAGATTCCCCCCTGTCGCGCCCCGAGATGCGCCGGCAGGGCGCGCCAGGCGTTTCGCGCGAGACCGCCTCGCAGGGCACGACTCTGAACCCTGAAGTTTTGCAAGAGCTTCGCGGATGGACGGCCAGTTTGTCTTGCATGTGCATTCCGCGCGTTCTCGCGCTAATCTTCGTGCGCTGTGTCCCAGCCTCGTTCTGACCGCCCTCTGGACTTTTCCTTGCGGGCCGCAAATCAAAAAAAAAAAAAAAAAAAAGGATGGACGGCTGGCTCTTTTCTCCGAAGTGCGCCATCCCCAGAGCGTCCCGCGCATTCGCTTGAAACATCCGCAGGACCTGCGGGGGCTTGAGGGCGGGCTCCTTTTTCAGCGTGCGGTCCTCGCCGCAGGCGCCGCGCGCACTCTCGCTTTCGTGGCAGAGTCGCAAAGAGCTTCGCGGACGGAGGGCGGCGCTCGTCCACAAGGTGCCCTCGACTGAGCCGCCGCGCACGCCTGTATTAAAAGGCCGCCGGAGCTTCGCGGATGGAGTGCGGCTGGTTTTCGGAATGTTGTGTTCGCCCTGGCGCCGCGCACATTCATTTTAAAAGTTCGCGGCGGTTTACGGATGCACGGTGGTTTTGTTGTTTAATGTGTGGCGCTCGCTGTAGCGCCGCGCGCATTGCTTCCAGAAGTTCGCAAGGGTGCCGCGGATGGAGGGCGGGCGCGTTTCACAATAGACTTGTCGCTGCAGCGCCCCGCCTCGTGGATGGAAGGCGGGTCTTTGTTTCAAAAGGCTGGCATCATTTCAGCGTCGTGCGCACGGGTGCAGAGAGGTTCGCAGGAGCTTCGCGGACGGAGCGTGGCTCTTCTCGTGAGGTGGTTATCGCGCCAGCGCTGCGCACGTTCGTTTCGGAAGTTGGCAGAAGTTTTGGCGGACGGAGGGCGGATTTTCTTCAAACTGTTATTATCGCTACACCAGCGCGCATATTCGTTTTGAACGTTCGCAAGAGTTTCGCGGATGGAGGGGCGCTCTCTTTCATACGGCTGTTCTCGCTTAAGCGTCGCGCACGTTCGTTCTGAAAGTTCGCACCAGCTTCGCGGATGAAGGGCGGCTCTTTTCCAGAAGGTTGTCCTCGCCCTAGCGTCGCGCACGTTCGTCTTGGGAATTTTGCAAAGTTTGGGCGGATGGAAGGCCGTCATTTTGAAAGTGCGGCTAACATTTTTTACCAGCCTGGAACATATCCCTATTCCTATGTTGGGCATCTCCTCAGCACGATGCCAATCTCAGGGATTCCCTTATTTTTGAGGGCGAATCCCTAAGATTGTCATCGCCGTTTGGCGTGTCAGTCCTAGGGATAGGGATACGTTCGAGGCTGGTAAATTGTAGTGCTGTGCATGTTCGTTTTCTAAGGGTTTGAAAAGGACCTGCACGGGTGGAGGTCGATCCCTCTTCAAAAATATGGTCTTCGCCTAAGCCTCGCGCGCATTGTTCTTACAGTCAACGCGCCTAGTGAGGACGCGCGCCTTCATCTAGGATGCCCTTGCGTCCTTGCCTCTGTGGCCCGTCCTTTGCCGCTTTCACTGGTCGCCGCCGCAAAAAAAAAACCCAACTTCAGCCTCCAGGGGTCTTGCGTCCTTGCCACGCGTCCTTAATCTACGTTTTGACTGTAACAGTTCGCAAGAGCTTCGCGGATGGAGGGTGGGCTCCCTTCAGAGTGTGGTTTTCGCTTTAGCGCCGCGCAGTTTCGCTTCACAGACTACAGCCTGTCTGACAGAATTCTTAGGTTTGACGTTCCAGGTATGGTTTCTGTGGCACGATGTCAGACTGTCTGGGCGCAACAGTCACGCTGATTCGCGGCGTTGTAGTCCCAAGAGCGGCGCACCGGCACGCTGCAGGATCGTCGTGACTCAACAGTAAGACCGACTCGCGGCATTGGAATTCAAAGGTTTGTAGGGAGGGTTGGTTGCTTCACTGTAGATGTGCCCTGGGTGTGCACTATAGTCTACCCCCTCCTGGCGCTGTCGCCTCCCTCGAGCAGTGGCGAAACGTCCCGACCTGCCTATAGGCCACCAAAGATCGTTGGAGAACCTGTGGTGGCCTGCACGAAATGATTTTGGACCAGCTCTGGCTGAGACAGCCCTGTTTTGACCAACCGGCTTCAGGGTCTTAGAACAACGCTTCGGTTCTTAAAGCACCTCGCTGGTTCTGCTATGGCTACAGGGATGCCCGGACGGTCGGCCCGGTTCCCGCCTCCCGGCTCTGTCCCCGCGCGCCCGGCACGTCCATCTCCTTTGTGTTCCTCCTCGGCCTCGTCCTCCTCCGCTCCCGTCGCCTCCTGGTTCCTGTCTCTCGGGAGGGAGGGAGGAAGAGTATAGTAATGACTAGCTGCCGTTGGTAGCCCGTCGGCGTGTTAGTCCTTCGTTCCTGTCCGAAGGCCGGGTGTTCTTCAGCACTCACACGCTGACGAGTTCCCCCAGAGCGGCGTGTCATTGACATTGTTTTTGCCACCCGACTCTTGTTCTCGCACTGCCGCATGTCGGGCTCCTCGTCCTCGTCCTCGGCTTCGTCCCCCGCCGTGCCGCATCCCCCTCCTCGCCGTCGTCCTGTCAGCCTCTCTCGGGCCGGGGCGGTCTCGGGGGCCTCTTTGAGGGGGCCCCTCCGGGTGCCGCCCACGAGCCCCCAGAGCAGGCTCAGAGATGGCCACGACACGGCCCCGAGGCAGGACAGGCCAGAGGTCTCGCGCCCTCTCAGCCAGAAGGCGCGGTCCGTCCCCGCGCTGGCCAGGCAGAACCCTTCGGGCTGGCGATCGTGTCATTACGTTTGTTGCCGCTTGCCCGCTCCTCACCCGAAAAGATGGGGCTGTTGGAGTGGAGAGGGGGGGGGACAAGAAAAGCTCCCGATCCGCCCCGCACGCCCTGCATACCGCGGCCGCCAGGCCAAAAGTGTGCTGGAGCTCCCTGGGGATCCAGTCTCGTGTTTTCGACGGATAGCATTTACATAGTTACCGCGGCCGCCATGCCCCAAGGGGTCTGGTGCTCCTTGTGGATCCCCTCGTTCTCGGCTTGGAGTCGTTCGGAGCGAAATAACAGTTGAGCTTCTCTCTCTCTCGCTCTCTCTTTTTTCTCGCTCTCTCTCTCTCTCTCTATCCACCTCTCTCCCTCCGCATCTCTCTTTCCAATAAACACCGCGGGGCTGTGAATCTGGAACAGGGGCAGCGTGGAGCTGTCTCTCCTCCACTCCCCCACCTGCTCCTCCTTCTCCTGGAGGAGGGCGTCTTCGACACCGACTGGCGGATCAGGCAGGCGTCCGTTCAGCTGATGGGCCAGCTCATAGAGCAGATCCTCCGCGCCAACAGGATCCCGACGAACAGTGCAGAGCTGATGCACGTTGAGGCCTAATGGCCGAAACCCTGGCAGCAGGAGGTGCGATGAGGGGGAGGAAGAGACATGAGAAGAGTCTTGATGGCCGAACATCTTAGCGGTAGCGCGAGCGAGTGTGGCTACACATCCACATCACCCAGGACCGTTGGGCAATGTGTTCCAACGCCTCGAGACAGCAACATCACACATATGACCTTGACCCCCTTCATCCCCTCCACGCACGACGCTGCCCTTCACGACGGACGCCAGGCAAGTGAAACCTGCCCCGTTTGCGCACGCCTGCAGGATGGCGGAGAGTAGCGATCATATTTGGATTCGGATAAGCATACGTGGCAGCTAGCGTGTCTTCATCGTCTGTATATTTTCCTAGCTGCTCGCCTGCTTCCTCATGCCCCTTTCCCCCCTTCTCTGGCCCTCGATTCCGTGCTTCCTGTTGTCGCTTGCCCATGCTTCATATTCACAATGCGCATACATGGCGGGACCAAGTTGCCAACACGGGCGCTTTTGCGAAATGTGACAGAACAATGCGCTCCTCCTCTTCGATCATCGGCGACGGTGACTACATGATGACGACGTGAGAATGATCTTGCCCCAGTTGAAGCGGACGCCCGTTGGACACAACTGTTCCATTTTCTTTCCAGGGCACGCTTGGACTGCGCCTTCCCCCCACAGATTCCGCCCCAGACCCGGGGGATCCCCAGCACCCCCTGGTGCCAGACGCGAGGCCCCGAAAGGATGATCCGTGTGATTCCAGCCACAAGCGACGGTACGTTCGTGTCGTGTCGGCACGGCGGCGACCCCGCCGCGGGCGTTCCAGGATTTCACGCCGCCAGTGGCCCAGAATCGGCCAACTCGGACGATCTGGCGATCGAGAAGCCGCCAGTTGATCAAGGTTAAACGATCCACGCGGTGTCATGAGGCCATCGCCAGGGTCGTCACGACACGAACCTGCGCCGAACCTCCAGTCTCGTCATGCAGCGGCAGCGCAGGCGATCCCCAAAGAGTGGCGTGAGTACGTGCTCGCCTCGCTCTACATCGTGCGCAGCGACGAGAGCCCAGTCGTGAAGCAGGAGTGCCAGAAGGTGTGGAAGGCTTTCGTGCAGAACCCGCCCAGGGTGCTGAAGGACCCGCCCTCTCCCCCGTGTGCTCCCCTGCCCGCTCGTCTCCCCCACGCCCTCTCCCGTCCTCCCTCTCCCCTTCGGCATTCTTTCCGCCCGCCCATATCGGCTGGCGCATCGCTGCGGCCGTACTAGCGCGCGCAGGCTTGAGCGCAGATCGGCCAGCTAGTCTGGCGCGGCCTGCTCGGCCGCGATGGCGCTGACAGCTGGGACCTTCCAAGCGCGTCTCTCAGGCGGCGCTGACGCGCCGGCAATCCAGTGCGAGTCGTTGATTCGGGCGGGCGCGGGATCATGGCGATGTCGTCGGCGGCAGGAATCATAAGATTAGCGATGATGGTGACCAGGATGACGATGACGACGGCAAGTCCAATGACGGTGCCGATGTTGATTGCGCCGGTGACGATGATGGCGCCAACGTGTCCGCGATGAAGGTGTTGGCGGGATTTCGACTTGCGCGCGCGGCCGACGCGCGCGAGTGGCACGCATGGCATTATTTGACACGGGTCATGGCTCCCCCACGCGCGCCAGGGCGTTCGAATGATTTCGACATGCGGGTGCGAGAGGCCCGTTTGGTCGAATTGGATGAACATGTTCGAATCGTACGGCTGCCTCACTTAGTTGGGCATTCGCAAGAGCGCGCGCAGACCTCCTTTGAAACGCCTCGTTGCCCAACCACCGTTTTCTACATGTTTTCGGGGCGTTCGGTTTTGAAATCCGTACGAAATTTGTTTTGCTCTTTGAATGATCCCGCCATGCTCGCGCGACGACGCGCGCGTGTGCCCTTCGCCAAATTGTTTCTCTTGTTTACAAGGGGTTCTCGGGAACTGCTGGCTTTTGGTAAACGAGTGCACGCGCACAATATTTTCTTGATGCGGAAGGTGGAAGGTGTCGAACGAGGCTCGCCTGGAATGGAATGGGTTAATAACTGGAATGAGCGTTGGGGCAGAATCGTGTGCAATTCGCGTATCCCCAAGGGTGGCCGATGCTGCAGGCCTCGGTGGGTGGCCTATGCTCCTGGCCTCGCTGGGTGGCCGGGGAATGTATATGTGATGCTGTGTGTGTGTTGCGCAATCTACGTTGTGCAGTAAATATCATGCGAGCTATGCGGTGCAAGCTATGGGGTGCAGTTCGCCCTGCCGAACTTGACGTTGCCAACTCCACTGTTCGCGCAATCGTCCCACCCACCCACCCGCTGCTTAGTTTGCAAAGCCCACGCGGCGGCGATTGCGATGGCTGTTCGGCGCGGGTCGGCGCATCGCCGCGGCCGCGCTACCGCGCATGCTCGCGCGCGCAGCTGCCAGCTAAAATGGCGCGGCGACGCGGCCGCGGTGGCGCTGACCCCCGGGTACTTCCAGCGGGCACTTCAATGCGAGTCGGCGACTTGGGCGGGCGCGGTATGATGGCCACGTCGAGAACGGTAGACGCGATGTTGATCGTAGCGATGCTGGTGACGATGATGACGACGACGGCACTGCCAATGACGGCGCCGATGTTGAGCACGCCGACGTCGATGACGGCGTCGCCGCGTCGGTGATGAAGGTTTTGGAAAAGGGTCCGAAATGCGCGCGCGGACGACGCGCGACAGTGGCACGCATGGAATTATCTGATACGGATTGTTCCCTCCCCCCCCCCAGCACGCGCGCAAAGGCATTCGAATGATGTCGACATGCGGCGCGAGGGACCCGTTTGGCATACTTACTTTTTAAGGAAGTCGCATGACTGCGAGCACAGGCCTATTTGTTTGAAAACGGATGTTGCGAAACCAGGTGTGTCATCATTTAACACTTGAGAAAACCCAATCAGTGGATGAGTTGAAAACTGATACTCTGGATCTCGAGATCGATGATGAGATCGATCGTGGGATCGAGAGTGAGCACGATTGTAAGGTCGATCGTGCGACCGAGTGTGACATCGATTCGATGAGATCGATTGTGAGATCGATCGCGAGATCGCTCATGCGATCTCTAGTGGTATCGATAGTGAGACTGATCGTGAGATCGATTGCGAGAGATCGATGGCGAAATCGACAGAGAAGTGGGTAATGAGATCGATGGTGAGACCGATTGGTAAGATCGACCGACCGGGAATCCGGGAGCCCGGGAACCTCACCGCCCTCCGAAATCGGCCCGGAACCCGAAACCGGGAACCCGGGAACCCGGAACCGGAAACCCAGGAACCCAGTGTGCGACCAAAATCGGCGGGGCACTTTCGCCAAATCCTTCAACGTCCGCGAGGACCCCTTCAGTGCAAGTACTGATTGGGTATAATACATGCGTGTATGTGTGTCTGTGCGTAAATGTGTGTGTGTGTGTGTTTGTGTGTGTGTGTGTGTGTGTGTGTGTGTGTTTGTGTGTGTGTGTGTTCGGGAAGCTCGATTTTAAGATGAGTACGCAACCTTTGCGTTTTGTTCATACATAACAAGCACAACAAGAATGCTGCATGCACTCGCGACGGCGCGCGCGTGTATACTTCGTCCCGTGTGTTGCACAAGGGGTTTGTACGACAGCACGCGCGCAAGGGAATGCGATTCCGACATGCGCGCGCGAGCGGTCCGCTTGGTAGCATGTTATGAAAATGTTAAACTCCGATGTTTTTCTGTTCAACATGTTCGCGAGCGCTCAGGCGCAGCTTTCTGTTGTTGCTGAAGATCCGTCTTGCGAAGCCATCTGTTTTTTATCACTGTTCCTGGGACACTCGATTCCTCCTAATCCTTACGAAGCCTAAGATTGTTGAAGGATTTCGGCATGCGCTCGCGACGACGCGCGCGTGTGCACTTCGTCCCATTTTTATGTGAAGGATTGTTGGTACTTGATGAGTTTTGATAAGCAAGCGCGCCGCGCATAGTTTGCTTTGCAGAGGATGAAAGGGGGGCGGTACCGGTTCGGCTGAGATGATGTGAACTCATACTTCGGATGGGCGATGGGGCAGGACCATGTGCAAGTCGCAAGACGAGCACGTGCACCGTTAAGCCCAGAAGGGGGGATCCGATTACCCTTCCAGAGAGGAGAACCTACGAGATGCGCACAGTGTGCGGCGACGGGGCGGCGACGGCGGCCACACGGCCGACAGCCCGGCGGTCGGGGTACGACGGGCGGCGACGCAGTGGCGACGGGGCGGCGGCGGAGCCGCCTGGGCCGGCAGAGGGGCCCAGGCGACGGGCGGCGACGAGGCGGCCCCGGGGCGGCGGCGAAACGGCAACGTAGCCGCCAGATCGGCAGGCGGGCCCAGTTCACGCGAGGAGAAGGAGGAACCCCTGGGTGGTCGGGGGTCGTAGGGGGAGGGCCTCTTGGGAATGACCCTCGGGGGCCTCTCAAAAGGGCTTTTCGGGGGCGGCTGGTTTGCTTCTGGGGGCCTCTCGGTGGCCTCTTGAGGGCCTCTTGGGCGCTCTTGCAGGCATTTTTGGGGCCTCTTGGGGGTGCTCGGTGGTGACTGGGGGGCTTCTGGGGCCACGACGGGTGAAAGACTCGCAATGTCAGTCCGCATTGCTCCTCTTATGCTTTTCTAGAAGACTGCTTAGGGGCCCCTGTGGCTGTCGCTGGGCCCTCTTGAGCCACCTTGGGGTTGTATTGAGTAGTATTCGCGCCCTCTTGGGACCTCCTGGGCCTGCCTGAGATGATCTTGGGGGCCCCTCGGATCGTATCGGACGCTGCCATGACGAAAAAGGCGGACATGTCGAACATGTATCTTCCCTTACGAAACGTGACGATGGTTGCATCTCGTGGCCTTTTCGGTGTTCCTGTGGGAGCATTATTGGGCAGTCCTGGGGGC